AATCGAGTTTATAGTAAATTAAAGTTTAATTTGTTGTGAAACATTAATAACCCGGGTTTAAGACAAATTCGATTTTAAAAAAAAAGAAAACAAAAAATTATGCATAAAATACACTTGAGGAGTTTAAAGAAGGAGTTGATGATTGGCTTAAAGAACGAAAACATGTTGCACAAAAAGAGTTATTCCTCGCTATTCTTGATTTATCTTTTAGCGTTGGTAAAGTTGTTATTCAGCCCGGAGGTGTACTCAATTTTGTTGATACTGTAAAAAAAGTGTCCAAATCAGTTCAAGATATCATTGAACATATTAATATAGAAAACATTAAAGCGTTAGTCAAGATAACTAATGATGATGACGTAAAAAAAGAATTGGAGCAAGCTAATGATATAAATAACAAAGCCAATAAAATCAAAGAAATTACAAATAAGCTAAAAAGTGATCACGATATGGCTGTTGAACTAAACAAATCCGCGATGGAAATGAGTAAAAAATTCGAAGAATTTAATAATAAAAATATTTCAGAAAGGTAATTTATACCATTTAGATATGCTAGACTGTTAAACATAAATTAATAAACTGTTATTTCCTATCAGCTTTGAAACTAAAGATTCAAAAGGAATCATGCTACGTAAAGAGCTGAAATCAACTAGGGATAACATTGATGAACTGCGTCAAATCATAAAAGTATCTATGCGATTTTACCTTTTTTCCCTTTTATGTACTTTCAACTAAAATTTATTGATTGTAAATTCAATTTTGTTAGTCGTTCGAGCAAAATATTAAAGGTGCAGACGAATATTTGAAGTCTTTAATAGATTTTATTAACTTAATTGATGCTCACATTGAAGCAAAAATCGAAGAAAGCGAAAGGTCTAAAGAACTTTCAGGAATTGAATTACAAGTAGAGATGTGCAAAAAAATAGAAGAACGACTTGAGCAAAGGATTCAGTTAGAAAATGATTCTCAAGATGACGAAATTAAGCTTCTACTATTCGAACACCTTATCGATATCAAATATTGTATGACATTATTCATGGAAAAGTATCGTTCCGCTTATAAATATTGGACTCTATCCGAATCCAAATTAGAGCTTTCAGTTATTAAAGAATTCAATGAATCAGTTATCAATAAAATGTTTGAAGATCTCGATAATGCCTTTAATGATAGACCTCAGATAAAAGAGACTACTTTTGAATTTAAAGAAACATATATTGATGAATTTAAACAAATTAGTTCGGTAATAATTGACATTCCGTTGGATTGTGATGAATTAAAAAACTACGCTCGCCTAAGGCTTCGTGCATTTAGGATATACTTAAAAGGAGTTGGATCCATAAACGAATCAATCGGTCTTTATATTAGTCATTCTGATACATTTGCTGACAGAGATAAAAATAATAATAAATATTATTTTAAATCAGATCCCAAAAGAGAAGGATTTGAATACAAAGTAAATAAAGATCATTCTGCCGAATGTGATATAAGCGAAAAATACAAAATAGTTTTCGATAACATCTATTATAAATTAGAGCATAAAGATTATTCTTTTGCCCCAACACCATTTAGTCAATGGACAATTAGTCTTTATAAAGGTAGCAAATGTTACCTGTCCAGTCTAGAATCAATTATTATTTATTTGGAAGTATACTGTTTTGTGATTTAAGGAAATAATAGCATGGTTTTTAATCTTTTAATTTCATATTATCTTTTCTTTTGTTTGACTCAATTTTATTTAGTTTTATTTTCTTATTATAGTATTAGGATTTTAAAATGACTTGTTAAAAGTATATATTAAATAAAATTGTTTAGAGACCTACAACTTTAGGATTTACTAATTTCATATGGGCTAGTTTTGTTTATTAGACCTTTTTTTGGTCATTAAAACTGATAAAATTTGATCAAAGATCCTTTAAACTATAATTCTTTGTTAGATATTAGACAGTCAATTGATGCGCACTACATTAAAAAGAACTTAAATTTAAAATTACATGTTAGAATTTGCGCCCAACCGATTATCCCAACCTTCTAACCGATTACTTCTTTCACCAATCAAATCAAGATCACCGTGTGCATTTATTTATACTTATCTCGATACGTGATATATCTTTTAAATCAAATATAACCACAATCGCGATGGTAGATATTTAGGATTGGCAAATTTTTTATATATGCTGGAAACAATCTATTAGCATAGTTCTTAATTAACTTCAGATCCTCATGAGTTTTCCTTGATAAAATCTAAATTCTGTGCTCGATCATATATATCTTCTCTTATTAAGTAAAATCTTTCAGTGTTACACAATGCGTGCACTGTCACGTTTAGAATAGCCTGCCTGTATAAAAAATTAAAGTAATATTTAGAGATCTTCCGACACAACGGTCCCAATCGGTGCAGTCACTTGATCGGCCACCTTATAGCTTTCAATTAAGGTCGATGCTTATTATAATGAACGTTATAATGATTTTTTTGGATTATATTTCTACTGATCTTAATAATAAAAACATTTCGCCATATTGTCTGCTGTAAATTATTCATATTTTAAACGCCCATGTATACGAAACTCGGGACATTGGAAATTCAAAAATCCGAATTGAGTGGAATGTAAACTGAAAATGATTGCAGTATATAATTTTTTTTTTTTCATATTAATAAATAAAATCGAATTTGTCTTAAACCCGGGTTATTAATGTTTCACAACAAATTAAACTTTAATTTACTATAAACTCGATT